ATTTGATAGTGAACCTCCCTCATTTGCCAATATTGACTTTTCAGAGACATCTTTTGATCAATATTCTGGGATCCTAGAGAGAGCTCCAGCAACTTTGAAACGTGCTGGAATTGGCCCCCTTTCATCATATATTCCATACTATATGGATAATCGACACGAATTCACCCGCTGGTGGCTTACAACAAATTATGGTGATAAAATCCGCCTAGGTCGAAAAGCCCTTAATTGGGAGTCAAAACGGTCATCATCTACATGGGATGGATTTCTCCAAGTAGCCCATGAGGAAACTGGGTTACCAAAAGCTCTCTGTCAGCTTTGTGACACAATTCTAGAGCATCCAAATTGGGTTCCAAACAGACATACTGGTAATGGTACATCTGGTCTTATACGTCATCTTCAATCGAATATTCATACCAGAATACTACAATCAGACCAACCAACTATCCATAGAGCTCTTACTCAGATGGTAAGTTATTAAATCACCTTACTTTCTTCTCACTTTCTTCTCTCTTTCTCTTTACTTTCCTCTCACTTTCTCTTCACTTTCTTCCCTCTTTCTCTTCACTTTCTTCTCTCTTTCTCTTTACTTTCTTCTCTCTTTCTCTTTACTTTCTTCTCTCTTTCTCTTTACTTTCTTCTCTCTCTCTTCTCTCTTTCTCTTCACTTCAACCTCACTTCACCTTATTTTCTATTGGCTTATAAGCCCCCCCGCCCCCCCAATTCCTAAAAGGATCACATCACCAGAAGCTTCATCCTTCAGGGGCGGCCAGAGCCTCAGGAACAGATCAAGCAGCCTAAGGCATCTACCCTTGGCAACTTCTAGGCTTCCCAAAAAGGATTGTTCCAAAAAACAAAGTGGATTACGCTATCAAAACCTCACAACTGGTCATCCAGGGAGCTCAAATATGGCGTTTCAAAATCCATCCGCCAGCCTCCAGTGACAAGTTATTCAAGCTTTCAGCTCCCAGTTACCAACAACCCTTATAAATTTTTTAGAAGGGTGATGCGGTTATCTTCAATGCCCAGTGGTATTGAAAATAACCACATCACCCTTCTAAAAATTTATGATTTCATTATTTTTTCATCAAATTACTATCAAATCACTATCAAATCATGTTTGAATCATTATCTAATCACTTTCTACCTATCTTAGAAACCTAAACCAGCTTTTACAACTGAAGGCTGGTATGATACTCTTTTAAAGTTTATCTCAGATTCAAAGTTACCTTTCAGAATTCTTGAACACCCTGATTTTGAGGCTGTTTTGAATTACTGCCGATTATCCCCCTTTCCACCACCAATTCCTGGTCGAACCACAATCAAAAGCCATCTGAAGTCAGTTTTACAGACTACAGAAAGTTCAATTCTTCGTTCTTTACCTTCTGATGCAAAACTTGCAATTGCCCTTGATTGTTGGACATCCCCTTTTCAGCAGGGATTTATGGCAATTACAGGGTATTTCATTGATGATTCCTGGGCCTTTCGTGAAGTACTCCTAGGCTTTGAGCCTCTAAGTACCTCACATACTGGATCCAACCTTGGAAAAAGGTTGATTAAAGTCTTGGAAAAGTATGGAATCTCAAAAAGGATTTCAGCAATTACTACAGATAATGCGTCAAATAACCAGACCCTCCTAAAATACCTCCGGGAAACAGGCATAAATCAAGACCTAATCAAGGTCCCATGTATGGCACATGTGATTCAGCTTTGTTTAAATAGTCTTTTGGGTGACTTGAACCTCCAGCCAAGGAATGAGGTTACAGAAAGAGTTTGGACAGATGAGCAGAGGAGATCCTTAATGAGGATTAATGATTCTATTATCAGGAGCACTCTCAAAAAGGTATGAAATCCTTACCCTTTCTCTCACTTTTCTCTTACTTTTCTCTCACTTTTTTCTTACTTTTTCTTACTCTCTTCTAGATTCGGGCCCTTACAGTCTATATCCATGCAAGTCCACAACGACAAAATGCTTTCAAAAGTATGAAAGAAAACACCGATCAACTACTTCTTGTCCAGGACGTTCGGACTCGGTGGAATTCTACATTCACTATGCTTGCCCGGGCAAAACGTCTCCGAAAAGCTATTGATTCATACTTTGAAAAAGACCATGAAAAATTTCAGCTTACAGCAAGCCAATGGAAGCAAATTGACTATCTTCTTTGTCTTTTACAACCTTTCTTTGACTTTACAAATGCTATGTCAAGGTCGAAAACTGCTACAATTCACCAAATCTTCGATGTCTATAATGCGCTATTTGGACATCTCACCCGCGCACAAGAACGACTTGATAAAAAGCAAATCCCTTGGAAAAAAGCCGTGTTCACAGCTCTCGAAGCAAGTCATGAGAAATTACGAAAGTATTATCATGAAATGATTGAAGCCAATTCACAGCCAAATCTCTACGCAATTGGTACGATTTTGGCACCTTCTCATAAGCTACAATATTTCTCTAAGTGGAATCTTGATTATCAGCAAAGATATCAAAACTCTATTAAAGAAAGAATACAAGCTTATCAAAATCGCTTTGATTCACAATCACTTCCAGAGCTGCAGCCAATATCTGAGACCTCAGATTTAGCATATCTTCTTTCCCGGCAGAAAACCCATGAAATCAGCACAGAATCTACTGAGCTTGATCGCTATTTAAATAGTGGTCAAGTAAGTATTGATCCTTTACTTTTTTGGCGACAGCATGAAAAGGAATATCCAATTCTCGCTCGAATCGCACGTGATACCCTATCAATTCCAGCAACTTCTGCAGGGGTTGAACGAATGTTTAACTATGCGCGAGATATTTGCCATTATCGACGTGGGTCTCTTAATGAGACGACAATTAGTAACCTTATGATGTATATGTGTACATCAAGGTTCGAATCACAGGTTGATTTTGATCGATATACTGATGAATTACTAGGGACTCAGCAGATATCACAAATTCAGATTAAAGAGACTTTTGATCTTGATCTGATTAGTGATGATGAGGATTATCATACAGATGATGAGGATTTAGTGTCAAATAGACCTAATCCTACCTTTTGCTCTCCTTTAACAGAGGTGTTAGCCAACCAAACCTATAGTCAGACTAGTGAAAGCCAGTTGATTATACCCCCTCTTCCTGCTGTTTCCCTAGATATTCATCAGGGTAATCAGGGTATACAAGATGAAAGTAGGTTGCAACTTCAACCAGACTTCCCTACTTCTTCACCTCAAATTCACTCAAGAAAGCACTCTTTTGATGAATCTAGTGATGATGGACTTCCAAATTCTAGCACTCAAGTTAGGTCATCAGGACGGACTCGAAAAGCCCCAAGATATTATGAGGGTTAGGATAAAGTAGATTGAATTTGAATTTTAAATTAAGATTTTCGAATATATCACTTTTTCCTCACTTTTCCCTCACTTTCTATTCACTTTCTGCTTATTCAAAAACTTTACTCCCCACTAGGGAGTAAATTACAATCTCTTCCATACATAGTCAATACAGCCAAGAATTTTCATCAAGTTATGCAGTCATGTGATTCTTCCTAATCTGGCTAGATCAAGTCCCATGGGATCCCATGGGACCACCCTTCTTGCCCAAATCCCAGAAGCAGAATCCCATGGGACTTACGTAAGTGGGATTTCCCATGGCTTAGCGTGGGAGTCCTACGTGGACCCATAGGTCCACGTCCCATATTGGCAGGTCTACTCGGGAGAGAACTTTTCTCGATCGGAAGCTTAGTCAGCTTGCATCGGATGCATCACACACTCCAGCCCGAGCTCGGCTTCGGCTGCCTGGAGTGGAGGAGAATGTAGACGTCACAAAGCTATTGTCTTTACATCAAGTATTGACTCAGCAGGTGTGCTTTGCCGAATTAGACACTGGCCTTCCACTTTTAGGGTAGGATATTTTCCTGGGATACATTAATTTACTATAACGGTTCTTCTAGCCAGTCGCCCGCATCGCTACTTCGCTGTCACTAAAGCACGCAAAGCCTCGGTCTACGGATGATTGGATGTGTCTAAAGAAGTGAATAATTAATTCACAGCCATCTTTCAAAAACGTAGACCGTAGATGCGGCTACATTCCAAGTCAATGACGAGCGCAGGTCAGCTCACAAACCGACATCTGCCGTAAGGATGATGTCACACCATGTTACTAAACAAGCCACATTGAAAAATTTGAGAGAATTTGCGTTGCCATTCGTTATGAAGAAGATGAAGAAGGACCGGTAGCTAGACTGTTAGTTAGTACTCAGGCCTTAATTCTCCAGATCAAGGACGGAGACGAACACGATGAGTCATGGAGAAACATCGTCAATAGAAATGAGCCATGACTTCATCTTCAGTCGCGGAGATGTTTAAAAGAGAGATTTCACGTTGCATATGTACAGTAGCATGAGGTTGGCGGAGGAAGACGCAGCCTTGTGTGAGAAATAGCGACATCTGCATGACTTGCCTTCAGTTCCAATCCCTCGTTGACGGGCGCGAACCGGACGCTCAAATGACTTAATGAAAACCAAGATATTCGCACACTATACTGTCAAATTAACGTTGTACTTGCTCTTACAAGGTTCGATGAATTTTGCAGAGCCAGGCTGCCCTTCTCTATTGCTTTGCTGATCAGAAATTCACGAATATTTCAGTTTTGATATTGATGTTGAGATTCAAGTTTTTGGCTAACCATTCACGGTCCAACATTAAGTCAACGACTGCACTTTCAAATCGAGGCACTGTAGCGTATTATCGATTCAATAGTAGTCAGGCAGATGGTTGGGTGATTATAATCCAACGTATATCTAAAATTAGACTATCCATGTGCGTTTCATTTTTGCATTGAAGTAGCGCTTCATGAAGTTACATGTAGAATCAGCGAACGCGCGCAGAACATTTATATACATGATATATTGTGCTAGTACAGGACATGCTGCACTGTATCCCTTTACCCCTTTCTTGTTGTCCCAAACATTCCAACCTAGCGGATCAAATGGCATGAGTACATAACATTAGTATCATTTACTTCACAAAGCCATTGAGATTCCTTCGATTTTCTCCAAGCCAATCTTTCCTGCCATTTCACATGCCTCGGCAACCTTCTCTGGCATACTTAAGAATGGAGAATGCGAGCTGTTGCATCGATATTGGCTGTAATCGCCTAATAGACCCGCCATGGACTCTTGGACGGAAATGGGGATTGCCCGATCCTCCTCGCAAAACACATACATACACGGAAGATTATGCCAAGGCTCGTGAGAGACTCGATCCTCGAAAGCGGCACGCGAGGTGTGCACGAGCCTAAGGTTCCAATTTTCCTGGTCTTTTTCGGAAAGGTCGTGATAGCAGATTTCTGATGCCATTGATGCCTTGCAGTAGTTTCCCTAGATACTTTTAATGCTCCAATGAACCCTCATACAGTAAAAAGAAGAGAACATCACTTACGTCAAGTTGCATCCATGGTAACCACTTTCCCCCGAGCATGTCTAGCAGGCTAGTGCCTGATTTGGCAACAAACGCGGCCAGGTATACCAAAATGAGTACACCACCGTTACTGCTGTCCTTCTTCCTTTCTGCATATCCCATGCCTTTCACGGCATCAGCTCCAACCATTCCACCGTAGGAATGGGCAACAACCACAATTTTCTTGCCTTCGTCGGACAATTTTTTAATTTCATTTTGCACGAAGATGACATCATCCGTAAGTCCCTTGGATGGTGGCTCTGCACCAATAGATGGGAGTGCAACAGCCACGCTGGGGAAGTCACGAAGTGCTAGAGAGGCGCGGACATCATCAAAAACGTCGGGGAGATGCCAGGCTCCAGGAATAAGGAGAATGGTGGGTTTTTCTAAGGACATTGTATATGGGAGTAGGGTAATGCTTGATATACTGAAGGAAATGTTTTTAAAAATCCTCTTGAGATGCATACGAGTACTTATGGATGCTCTTAGCCGAACATGTTTTTCGGAAATCCGGGACTGAATATCGGCTATGTCAAGGGGCACGGCCTAAGAGCCTAAAGAGGCAAGGCTTCCGATAGCGAGACCTCCTAATGTAGTCAATCAGCTGTTTTTTCATGCTTTTAGGCTTCATCGTCTCAAATATTTTAGTTATTCATGCATCTATGACGATCACATTATTGATTCGAAGATTGGACGTTCCTTTAAGCCACTCAAATCCGTTTCCGAAGTGGGTATTTCCCCCCAAGCCCAACGATTAAGGTTTGTCAAACCGACAGCCCATTTGTGGATATGAGAATGCGGGGTATCGGGTAATCTAAATGGAGTATTCGGGTAGTTGACTGCGGGGGGACTGGGACGTTATGAAATATTGATTCCATAATCGATACGAATTACTTACATAGGCTTCATACATTTGGCCAATACAGTAGGACTATTGCTAGGAATTAATTACATAGTTTAGTAGGTTTCGCATACTTATTAATAGGATTCGGACGAGCACAGAGATGATGGAAGGAACCGAGCTCGGGAGTCAGGAGCCAAGCCTGCTAAGCGCTCTTGGGTATATGGTTCGATACTTAATCCTTGAGTCGCAACTCTTGATACTTCTTAAGGCTCGCGTCATCGTATTCGCTTGGCAAGATTTTCTCTCGAGATGGGAAGTTGCTCGCTATATAACGCCTATTTGTTCTTGAAGCTATAGTGTCAGCCATGCTCCGCGGGTATTACTCAGGTTGATTCAACGCCACGAAGAAATATCAAGATCGGATCACGAAGTATACGTCCAACAGAGAATCTAAAAGACGAACAACATGATCAGACTTAACGCCTTAGTTTATCTAGATTTATTTTTCCTAACTGGGGTAGCTGTAAACGCTCCCAGTCGAGTAAAATGTGCTCCACCGTCAGATCAAAGGGAATCATGGCCGGCGATAGCATAAATGTCCTACCTAAGATCTGGCTCTGAAGTATGTGAATGGCTTTTCCATCATTGTATATTGTATTATACCTATCACTAGAAATACTTTTGGACTCTGACAGAAATTGTCACATATTCTGTAAAAAATACAGATAGCCTCCTTCAGATCATACATCAGAAATATCTCGATTGCCTTGTTCAGAGTGTTTTGAATGTCGAGGAAACGACACCCTTGGTACTCCTCTCGAATCCAGATGCTCATTATCCGCCCTATCACCCAGCACCGCATTCGGGGAAGCCAGTCGTGCAAGACGCTTTAGTTCAACTTGGAGCCCTGCGCTTGAATGACTGCAAACATAATTTTTGAGCGTCATCTGTTTCCATTCCCGTCTAGATGACGCATTCGACCGGCGAGAGGAATATTTTTGCGCACCGCGGGCCAAAAAGATATGTACAGCTGGGACACAGGAGCAGATGAGCCCAAATCCTATCTCAGCGTTTCTATCAAGTCGGTGTCAGCATTTGGAATTATTGATCTTTCGATCTTTTGCGGCCCACTGACCCAGAAAGTAGAACTCTCATGAAAACTGACGGCAAGGAGATGCTTCCTCTTTCATTGACCACCAAGATAAGTCGATAGATACTGAACCCAATTGCGAGACCTCCACAACCCAGCATCAGAGCTGCTTTCAATTTTTTGGTTCTCGGGAGATTCAATGGCATTGTAAGCGCCAGGGGCAGAAGCAGAATCACCATATCACTCGTAACGCTCATAACTGCATCAGCAATGATAACCGCTGCTTTATTCAAGCAATGGTTACTGTTGTTGACATCGGTCCAGAAACACGAAATCGGACTGCAAATAAAGACTTTGATGAAAAAAATGATCGTGTAGTAGATAACAAAAACAGCAAATATTGAGTACACACCAATGACTTGCGTCTGGTATAGTGTGAAGATTCTCGCAAGGATCGAAAGTAAGGTGGTCTTGACACAAAGAACCAGCGGGGGATAAATCACAGTCAAGACGTAATAAAGCTGCGTGGGTGTTAGTCAGACGTCAGGGCCAGATATTGCAATCAGTTTTCTACTATACCTTATATAATCGAGTGTTCTGAGATTCGGTTGGCAGTGATGGTGATTTTCTTTCACCGTAGGCTCTGTCTGAAGAACACATGGAAGTTAGTCAGGGTACCCCTCTAGATCTGAATAATTGAGCAATGGGCCCCACATAAAATTACACATGTGCAATACGCCAAAAAAAGAATCTTTGAGCTGATGTCAATAATGTAGTCCTAGGAATCTTAGACGTGTGCATGTACCCAGGATAGAAAGCAGAAATCTGGAAAACTGGTCAGCTTTAGGGTCATAATCTTCGCAAAGAAGCATATATAACCTACAATCTTCTATATCGACGTGTGGCTTCCATCTAACCGCCACGAACAACCGGAGCCCAACTAACAGGGACACGATCGTCATACACAGAATCTGCGTCACTAGGCTAATTGTTCGAAGATCTTCGTCAGATTCTTGTGACATCTTAGACAGTCTAGCCGATTCACACCGAGGCTGTATTGGCTTTAGAGAATAATTAGTATTGTAGTAATATTGATTAAGCTCCACAAGGCAATTGCGTGTGATCGAAACTTCGTGGAGGGGAAGAAGGGGAGTATTGGTTGGTAAGCTCGAGTCTGGTTATTGACGTCATCGAGACCACTTTGGTTTAGGCATTCGGGACCACCAATTATTACGTGGCGCTTCATAACATGATGAAGGTACTGTGTTGCTACACGAACGCGAAGTTAAGATGGTGGGAATTTAAGTAGCCGCGTGTTCACATTTCGGCTTACAGATGGAGAGAAGACAAATGCACAGAAGGCTACCCCAACACCCCAGAGTTAAATGACATGCTAGGCTGAAGGGGCAAAAGTGGCGGCCTTCCATTTCATCCTCTGTGGAATTTGTAAGCGCATTTTGATTTTTTGGGGTCACAGGTTCGGTGTTTTGGTGCAGGTCTAGTACTGATGCTGTTGTAGTTCAAAAGAATGATTAAATTATATTGTTATAGAAAGAATACGTGAATCTATATATACAATGAGAAGATCAAGCTAATTTCCAATCAACGAGAGGGCACTTTAGTTTTTCTTATCAAAGATGGTTTTCGCTTTAACGTAGTTTTTGCGATATAAGGCTGGTGCAGATCAGAAACCAAACCGCAACATCCGGATTAGTTCGAGGTTTTTAGATGGTTGATCTTCTTGTTGTATATACAGCCTCACGAATTTCTGCTGAAACAAAAATTTCAATATTCCATTTTAACTACAAGAATATTTCATAAGCCAATAAATACCAAGGCAACCCTTGTGTCGCGAGAAGTAGACAACCCTGCAGGGAGTGTTGCAAGAACAAGCTCCCTTTAGCAATGTACAGAAACCTCTCCCTGATACTAGAGATTAGTATTCGAGTTTTCAGAGGCTATTCAAAGAGACCAAACCCTGGAATTTCACTCCCATAAGTTGATAATCATGCTCATCGGAACATCGGTGTAAAATGGTATTCTATAGATCCGTGGATCGATTATTCTTTAGGTGCTCCACCAAAGCTTCCCAGATATCATGTTGGCGGTTTGACGGAAACAGTGACAGGAATTTTCTGACAACAGGTTAAATTAGGTGGTGGAATCATATTCGCGAAATGTTCTATTCACAGCGGGCATTTTCTCACTATTCGGCCCCTACGGGGGCGAATAGGGACCAATTTATCAAAACTCTCTGAACACGTAATCAGGGTCGAACAGCATGTACCAATGGTATGGGTCACGTCTGTGTACTTGTCTGGTATTCTCTAGTCTCCACCACAGCAATTTAACATGTGGTACGCTGACTAATAAAGTTGATTTACATGATCCATTGTTCCGACATTTTGTTTATCTGCACTTCCGATCTGGATCCTGTTGTAGCTCTTGGAGCTACGTCTTGTATAATAGCTTACGCTAGACCGTCCGCCGACCTGCTGCCGGATCAATTAGAAACCCTCTGAACCCGACCCGATCCCGCCGGTCTTCTCCTATTATAACCCTGCCAGCCTGCACTCTGACACTTGGTAATCTATATACACATGGGATAATCCTTGCCCCATAGTATAAGCTCTACTTCTTTTAAACCCCTGATTGGTTAGATCAAGATTATACTAGTCAATATAAGATAAGCTTAAAAGATCGGATCAAAAACTATCAAAGCAAATCTACTAGTCATACTTAGTCTGTGCCATAACCCACAAATGGGTAGGTAAAGTCAACCCGCAACCCGAACCCGCAAAACCCATGGGCTGGTCAAGTCAACCCGCAACCCGCATGGGGCGGGTTGCGGGTTCGGGTGCGGGTTACCCACGCTAGCCCATCTTTGCATAATTTTTTGACACTATACCTAAAAAGGATGGATAAATCCAATTTTTTATGTAATAAACCACTTTTATGTACAATTTTATACATAAATCTCTATGTTTGTCCTGTTTGACGACCCATTGGGTAACCCATAAACCCGCGCGGGTTTCCCATCAGAACCCGCAACCCGCATGCGGGTTAGACAGACCGACCCAAAACCCGACCCATAGGGAGGATGGGGCGGGTTCGGGTGCGGGTTTCTGCGGGTTACGGCACAGCCTAACTATGACCCTTTTTTTTTTTGCCCATACTAAAGAATCCCGCCCTAATTGTAATGCAGTGCATTACAATTACCCCCATGGGTTAGGCTAATGAAGTCTATACGGCACAGCCTAATCACAACTTCGTAATACTATAGTGAGAAGGTATCACTAAATTTCTACCGTCCTACTTCATACCGTCTTAAATCCCAGTGGCCCACTCTGCTCTCTTAACGTCCTGCCCCAGATCATCAAGCCTATTGGTATGAAAGAAGCCACAGCAATGATACCAGCTTGCACGCTAAAGCTATTCTTGACGCCCATGGAATTTGCCCAATTCACTTGGAAGTAACTCACGATGAAGCCACCAGTAGTACGTGCCATGTTTATCCAAGCAGCAACCTCGCCGCTTCCTTCAGGATAACAGTCCACTCCATAAGCGTTGACAGCAACTGTGGTGATCATTATACCGAACACATACAGACCCCATCCCAAAGACGTGATCATATAGTGGTACCCATACTCTAGGGCAAATCCTAACAAAACGATACCTGCTACCATGAATGGCGTTGATATGATCGCAGCCCGAAGCCTGACTTCCGGTTCGAAGTGGCCATGATGCTTCTTGATGTAGCGATGTGCGATGAGATCGTGGATATAGTGACCGCATAATTCACCCAAAAGGGCGGCAACGATGGGGGTAAAGTAGAAAAAGCTAGAGGATAAATATTAGATACTACCGCTTGACATAACAATTCAAAACATCTGCAACGAATGAAGATCGACAGTCAACATACGAAAGTGAACATACCCAATCTGTTTTGGTCCAAAATTATAGAGCGGGGTCAAGAAAATCGAGAGCGTCGCTAGATAACGGTAAGTTCCCAAGAAAAAGAGAGAGAATGATCAGAACATACTATTGATCCCGACAACCCAGGCAAAGGTAAGAAAGTAAAAAAAAGACATCAAAAGAATTGGTAGTTTTGTAATCACTTTAACTGGCCGGAGAAGAACATCGATAAAAGTGTTTGGCTTGAGTAGGTTCACACGGCGCTGGTGAATGCCGATAAGCGTCGAGATCCGTGATCCATTAGAAGGGACGTCATGGGAGTTTCTGTTGTAGTACGTCTCGGGAACGAAGAGCACAGACAGTATTAATGCAAGACCGCACATGGCAAAAAACAGCCAAAATGCATCGTTCCACTTTTGTGTCGAGATGATGAATGCTGAGAAAAGGGGACCGAGATATGGACCTAGAGAGGCGAGGTGTGCCAATCAATACGATGCAGTGCCTCAGAGAGGGAGCCATGCTTACTGAGAATGATAAAGGCTGCCCATATATTGATCTTCCTTGCTTGTTCATGAAAGAAGAACATGTCTCTAATAAACATCAGTCCACCCCCTTGAGCGACCTATTATGCGTTAGCAACGGTATCATCAAATCGGAGAGACATAAAACGGCAAGCCGGTTGGGAAGTGGAGGCTGGGCCTGAATCATGTTGGGGATACCAACGTACCGTAGAAAAAAATCCATTCAGAATGCGCGCGGCCATGAAGCTTTCGAAATTGGTCGCACCGGCACACCAAGCGGCGGTGGCTGTGGCAATGACAAGGAACCAGAAAAGAACGGGAAGGCGGCCGAAATAGGCAGACCCAGCGACAACGAAAATACCACCGACTCCGAGCATGAACACATTCCCTACCTGAGAATGGTTCACAGTATCTGGGCTTATGCCCCATTCTGCCGCTTGCGGGATCAGGGTGACTGCGCCCGTGGCAGAACCATAGTCTGCCAGCATGGCAGTCCACGATATAATGAGAAGGATGAGGTGCTTTTTGAATGAAGACCAGTTCAAAGGATCTTCCGGATCCGAGCTCGGTTGCGGGATGAGGATCGTGTGGCCGTCTTTAGCTAACTTGCTATTGAGACAACCCGAGCCGTTTTCTGCGTCGACAACATGTCCATGATCATTTGCCTTGCTTGAAGTGGCGAGATTGATATGTCTCGCAGTGGGTAGTTCATCTACCTCGTCCTGCTTTTGGGGAATGTCACAACTCATCGTATAAGCTTTGGGGGTAAAGTAGAGGGGAAAAGCGACAATATGAAAGAAAAGGCTAGGATGAGTTGAGTTACTGGTCCGAGAACGACTATTTATGACAGATAGCTGATATGCACGCGCTTCATGTGGCGCATGATCGACGTGGGTAATTAGACTACCCCGCAAATCCCTATGAGAGTCAAGGACGATTAGATTAGCTGAGTAAGGCTTAGCAATATATAAATAATCAAGGGCATCTCTGGACCCAAGACTTGTGGCCAATGAAACATAGTCTATTGAAGAATAAACTTCCTTGGTGTTTCTTTCCGTGGATCAAAATCTACCCCTCTTACTACTCGGGTACCCTCATAAAGCGGTGGAAATGGAGGCTTCTGATTGGTCAGAGAATTCTTCCGGATCAAGATTGTTCCTACGATGATTTTGTTATTGTTTTTACAACTCACCGCCTTCCTGAAACCAATCATATTGTGGCTTTCTGTCGGTATGGATTTGACTAGTTTGCGTTTAGGCTTCGGCAAATGGGGCCCCATTTCAAAATTTCAGAACCCAACCCAGTGATAGAAACCCATGTATTAAACGCCCCCAATTCAAACAGGGAAATTGAAAAGCCGCAGGGCTAGCGTGGGTAAAGCACCCAACCCATCGGGTTTGCGGGTTCGGGTTGCGGGTTGGCTTGACCTACCTATTTGCGGGTTTTGGCACAGACTAGATATACCCTATACCATACGCTTATATTTTGAAAATAGCTATTATATTAATAAACATATATATTATCTATCTATAAATAGGGATATTTCATAAAAATATAAGAAATAAGGTAGAAAATAAGTTAAGTGGTACATGTTCTTACCAAAATGCGGGTAAATAACAGAATTAATTTCAGATGACTCAGCAGTTTATATTAAGAAATCAGACAGAATCAGGCAGCAATGGGCCGGCCCATGTAGAAGTCTAAGCCCACACTATTCCCGAACCCGATCTATGAAAACTGAATATAATGACCCAAGAGTAAAAGTGAAAGTATCCTTAGAGTCAGCATCAAATGACAACCCATCCTCCCCATCTGCGAACGCAAAGACAAAATCGTACACGAGCCGGGCGATCACGCATCGAAGCTGCATGAGTGCGAGCTACTTTCCAACGCAGGAGTACCGACCTGAAGTGTCATTAGCACATCAATTCCAATCTCAATGAGAATAACTGATATATCTACCTATTTGAAATGGGAAGTATGCTTCCTCATGCTTAGAAAAATCATTCTTTCCTTCCAGCCAACGCTCCGGAATGAATTCCGAACCGGAGGGAAAATAGCGCTCATCGCGCTGAAGCACATACTGCGGTATCACAACGATCGTATCGCCTGGGATCCAAACTTCCTCAATATGTAGACCATGTGGTGAAGTTAGTATGGGGTTAACGCTAGGCACGGCAGGCTTGAGGCGGAGGGTCTCGTTGATGACGGCTTGGAGGCAAGGAAGGTGGCAGAGCTTCTCGTTAGTGAATTCCGAGGTATCGGCTTTACTTCCAAAGGCGTTGTCAAGTTCTTCTAGTAGACTTTGGTATGCAGAGGGAGTCTTGACCAGATAATATAGTGCGTGGGCGAGGGTTCTGGCCGTGGTGTCACTGGATTTTATGTTGGATTAATTATTTTTAGGGCCTTTAGGATACCTGACGGACCTTCCGGCGATGATTATGAGACGGCCATCGTCGTTGAGAGCCTGGGCGCCTGGTGGAGCAACTTGGTCTTTCTCCTCGAGGGCTTTCACTAGCCAGGAGATGACGTCTTGCGGGGTCTTGTCGCTTTTCAAGCCCCATTGCTGTGGTCGCGCGTTAGAAATTCAACTTGGTACGTAGGAAAAATCATGGAGGGATTGTTGCGTAGAAGTTGCATCTCAGGCCCACCTTTTTCTTGTCGAGTGGTTGATTCTGTCTGGAGTGGATCTGAGTGGCAAGAACATTCACTTTGTTTTGAACGCGGGGCTCGTATGATGCTAGTGCTATACAACACGTACATCTATTAGCTACTACGCAATAAGGGGCAAGAAGACCATAGAGGAGAGTTTGGATTGGAGTCTATTACCTTCATGTTGAATGCACGCTCCCAAGCTTTTCGCCTGCGACGGTGGACCATGGGATCTCGCGTTAAGTTCAAATAAATCTGTGCATTATCGTCTGACACATGGCTATACCATGGAGATTTTGTGCAAGGCGATTGTGGCCCATGTAACGCGGGCACGGCTGATAGCCGATCAATTGAGATCTCCCGGGACCTGTACGCACAAAGTCGCCATACTGTTGGTGCAATTTTTGGAGATCCAGGTGGTACTGAGTTTGTTTAATCCCCTGCTGAAGCGGGAACAGCCGGCTCAATTTAGCGTCCCATGGGCCTGGAAACCGACTGAGGCGATGGAAAAAGGCGCGGTAGATCAGGATACTGATCGCGAGTCCGAAATTGAAACAACATGCGGCAAGCAGGGAGCGTCCAATCACACAGAATGTGCCCAGAGAGTATACACAGATATAGGTGCCGCACAGGGCCAACCAAGCTCCCAGGTACAAGGCCAAGAGTGACTTGATACGGTTGTCGATTTCCAAGGTGCGAATGCACTGATGAAATGCGGCCCCGAGCACTGTGAAAGTGGGTGCAATCTGCGAAGGAGCTGGGCTCAGCAGTGTCGCGAGGGTCGTTGGCCAGGCCATCTCTTCAAAAATTGGGGGCTTTACGGCGTGAGACTTTCTCGCCTTTCTCTCGTTCTGGCCAGGGGCAGCAGACACAATGGCACTTGTAATCTAGACACCATTCTCCAATTCCTTGAGGGATTATCGTTCCTTGGAGGATTATCGGATAGAAGTGGGAGCCAGAAAAGGAAACAATCAAGTGATTCGGTACTAGGGGCAATCCAGTGTGCCGGGAAGCGGCGTAATAGTCGATCCTTCGGGGCACCAAGGATTTAGCGCTGCATCAGCCCCGGCGCTATGTGCCGCGTTCTCGAGCCTTGTCCAATATGAACTCGCAATGTTCCGGGAATTGATATGTTTTCTAAGCTGTCTTCCTGATTAGAAGGGGAAATTATCGCTTTTCCTCTAATATGACAGAGTCCTTGAGTTTTCCTCGATGTTGGAGTGGTTTCCGCGGCTAGCGAAGGATTGAAGGAAAGGCAGATGTTTTGTCGATCGCATGTGTATTCGCGGCCAGCCGCTCATTAAATTCCAACGCCCTGGATCTAAAGTGTTGGTTAGACCAGGTTATATTATTGCGAACTTCGCCCTGTTCTCTGTCTTTTCTAGTCATTCTTTTCGGGCGTTGGCTCTCTCGCTCTTGTCCTCGTGAAAATGTTGGAGTCGCTGCAGCCGGCTGCATATGCTGTTTCCTTCATTTTCTGGGCGCTCTCCACTTTTTCGACGTGCGTGCGCGTATACTGGCGAGGATGGATCATCAAAGCTTTTGGGATGGATGATTGGTGGATGGTTATAGTGATGGTGAGTTTGGTATTATCGAAATTTTGAAATCTACACGGTCAATCTAATCATCGTGTAGATTTCCAATATAGCACAACAAGGAATATTCTGTGCGTTTCTTCACTATGGAGGCGGACTGTATGTTCTAATATACCCAATGAAGTATTGCTCTGATATGGGGTCTGATACAGATTTCTAGTCATCTTGCCCCCACGCCTAATCCAGCGATTGTAATGACCTTATCCAATGTATGTTCGGAAAGCCACCCCGATATCCAGTTCAGAGGTTCTCAATCTGACTTTTAATCTGCACGCAGCTTCTCCTTTCTGAAGAAATTGCATATATCTGGATGCAATTCTCCATCAAGACGGGATTTTTGCTCTTCTAAGGCTCACAAACCAGACAAGCTTCATCTATTGTGTTTATGCGACATTGTTAATGAACTTCCTCGTTTCCATCTCCCTCTGGCTGCTCTACTGCCTCCAGTGCCATTGGAAGCTTTTTGGGACAGCGCGACATACCCAGACGCCAAGTGCCTATCAACATCCGTAACCTACTACGTGCCTGCCGCGCTTGTAAGTCCCTAGGCCACTAGCTTTAGAAAAAGACGGTGCAGCTAACCAATCCACCTCAGTGCATCATGATGGACTCTATCATCCTCTTCTCCCCTATCCGCCCCCTATGGAAGATCCAAGCAAGCGTCACCCGCCGACTGGGTATTATTGCCACTATCACCGTTGCCGGTATCGCGGTCATTGTTTCCTGCCTTCGCATCATCGTCCTTCACCAGTTCGCAGTCCACCCAGACTTTACGTACGTCCTCGGCGAAATGGTCATTATCTCTGCCGTCGAACTCAACAGCGCCATTGTGGCTTCAAATCTCCCGACCTTCAAGGCTGTCTGGCGAAAGCACGTTACCGGGACGCTGGCGTCGCGGACAACCTCACACAACCTGTCCTCGCTCGACAAGAGAGGGCACTTAGAGGGTAGTGTTGGGCTGACGGTCATCTACCAGAGGAGCGAGCGGGGGTCAGACCAGGAATTTCCGGATTCTTCGTCGACAAATAACTTGGTTGCGAGGCCGGGAAGTGATAAGTGGGTTGATTGTGAGATGGCTCGGAAGGGGGACCGATAATAGCCAGCGATACTGAAATTATAATTAGAGATACTATAAATACGAATAGTAATTTAAGAATAATATTCATGAGGGATCTATAAGGGGTTTGACGTAAGTAGTTTCTGAAAGCCATAATCAACCAGGAAGCGACCACTTGGCCGTGGTAATAACTGTACCGGCCTCTGGGAGGCGTAGCTTCCCGAGGGATATAAGAAGTATCTCTTGGCCTTGCCGGATTGTAGTCAATTCGGGACGTTAGAGTGTTCTAGGGTTAGGCGTGCAACAGAGGCATGAGATCATATCAAGACAGGCGCAGAAACTGAGATATGTGTACCTCCCTGTTATGTGTTTGTTATTGGCGCGCCCTAAACTTTGCCGCGAGACCTGTTAAGGTCAGATAAAAAACTTGATATTCAGCGGCGGCGTGGCGCACCATCCCAGTCAGAGACTGGCAGCGTGACCTAACCGAGGCTGAGCCACCTAATACCGGAGCAATGGCACGTCCCCCCCCGGAAGTACCGAAGGTCGAGCTTCGTGAGGACTGTGAGATCATCAAAGTTGGGCCGAACCGGGAATAAATCCGAGGATTGACACCGAAACATTTGGCTGAAAGAGTCGAATGACAGGTTATGATTACCCGGCAAAATTCTGGGGTCCTGGCTGGGTAAGCCTCGTTTGTCGCGACCCGGAAGCTACCTTCGGGTGATTAGGTGACGATAGCCAATAGTATAGCAGGGGCTGAGGCTCTTCGCAAGCATCCTGCGTGGTAGAAGGCCTGTCGTGGGGTGTCTTATAAACTATATCCCCTAGGTCGATGAAACTTATTCAGAAGACGATGTCCGATGTGGCGAACGAATTACTATGTTGGAAATGCCAAAAGCTAAGGCTTATCTAATCACCTAGTTCCAACGTCTTCAGATGCGGCCACTGCGCTTATGGGCACCCGACCTGGGAGTGTCCGTTAACGAAGAGGCGATTGAGACTAATTAAGCGCGCCAATTGTGGCGAAGGTCATCGGCTGACACGCTGGGAGTGTCTGGTGAAAATGGCGGCTATGGATGAAGCCTAATATGCAGAGTCACAATATCTAATATACTACCGCATCGCGCGATACTTTCGAATGGCAAAGAGTATGGATATCATAATGCTACCGAACAGTCTAGACTGTCCTAGAGTATGGTATGGAAATATCTATCTATGCTCTAGACACTCATAGGGAAAAATAGACTTCTGCATGGGCCGGAAAATTATGTCCAAGGCCCAACCCATGCTAAAGCCTAAGTAATATATACATATATTACATATATTACCTAGTTAATACTAATGTTTCTGATAGACTACATGGTAATTACATAGAGATTTAAATTTACCGGCCCATGGGCCAGAAAATTATGTCCAAGGCCCAGCCCATGCAGAAGTCTAGGGAAAAAGAAATCTTCTAGAACAGTTACGCAACTATGGTTGATCCAGAGATTGTTATGCTTCGGCAGGACCTAAGTCCGACCTAACCTAACCCAATACCTAATTAGGTCGCAAATATAGTAGATATGCCTAGCTTATAGTATAGTATGTTCATAGCATGTTTTAGGGCCCTTTGCTAATGAAGTTTTATTATTTTATGAGCTAAAATCTCTAAATCTATAAGAAGATTTATATGTTACTAGTAATATATTAGATATCTCTTAATCGATAAAAATAAATAAATTACAAAGGGTTATTAGAAAAGCGGTGGAGCTACCGCTTATTTCAAAGATTTTTGAATATATGAGAATGAGACTTTTTAAATTTCTCCTTTTCTACTGGTCGAATTTAGTTCGATTTCAGAGTATAGATTTATCTATGCTTTCTCTATATATGTGTGTAAATTTATCTAAATCCACCTAGTCGAAATAGCAGAATATAGAGAATATAGAAGCATAATAGGGGTAAATTATGTAAAATTAAGCCCTAATGGGGCCCTAGTTGGTACATAATGGATCGGGCTAGGTAATCAGGACCTAAATTGGGTTCTAAAGAAGCCTACTAGTAATACTACTAGTAATGAATAATCTACCTCAAAAGTTACTCTTGAGTTCGCGGGCACTGCTAAAAACCGGGATCTCGCTACTGTATTTTGTCTTACGCTTTCGGCACGACTTATAAGCCTAAGGAAGTCGGCGAGTATACCTCTGAGCGATGTATTATCCGCGCCTTGGCCTTTCTTAGGATGAGATATATAAAAACGGCGAACTCTTCAGCTCTATGCAACAGCAAACTTAGAGCGTGCTCTTAAAAAGTAAAGTAGCCAAATACCGACCTGCAACGATTTTGGTTAGCTTTTACGAAGCACCTGGAGTACGAAACTTACTATGCCTAGAATACTGAGACCTGCTAAGAGACTTATCCCTTAACTAATTCCGAGATTTTCGAATATTGGCCGAGACTACAAAATAGAGCCAAATGCAAAGGCCGAACGGCAAAAGTCATTGCCGGCAAAAAGAGATATAGTATATTGCGGATACGATATTGGAATATGAATAAAAATGCACTGCAAAATGATGAAAACGTTTAGAGCGTAAATTGTGATTCCGATGGCGCTGGTAATCTAATGAATATGAATAATCGCGGTCTAACCTTCGATTCAATTAGCGCATTCTGATTGATGGTTGAAAATGTGTGTAAATCTGTTTCCTTGTGAAAGTTCTACTTACCGAACAGAAAGAGGCTAATTGGGGGGCCAAAGACGGTAATAAGAGATGGTCTTAATCGCCACTCTGGAGGCTGTAAACCATTCTGCTTGATATCTGGTATTAGTAGAAAGTGCAAATATGCAAAATATATTACTACTGCTAGAATATAGCCGACGACCACATAAATAAACACAACACCAGTTTCTCCTAGGTTGAAACCATATAGTGGGCTATATACCAATGGAAATACCTCAAAGAAGGGGTAGTATATACTAGGCTGTGCCGTAACCCGCAGAAACCCGCACCCGAACCCGCCCCATCCTCCCTATGGGTCGGGTTTTGGGTCGGTCTGTCTAACCCGCATGCGGGTTGCGGGTTCTGATGGGAAACCCGCGCGGGTTTATGGGTTACCCAATGGGTCGTCAAACAGGACAAACATAGAAATTTATGTATAAAATTGTACATAAAAGTGGTTTATTACATAAAAAATTGGATTTATCCATCCTTTTTAGGTATAGTGTCAAAAAATTATGCAAAGATGGGCTAGCGTGGGTAACCCGCACCCGAACCCGCAACCCGCCCCATGCGGGTTGCGGGTTGACTTGACCAACCCATGGGTTTTGCGGGTTCGGGTTGCGGGTTGACTTTACCTACCCATTTGCGGGTTATGGCACAGACTAGTATATACGGTATATAAGCGCGGTGTATACGTTGGTGAATATGACGGCGGGGTCTTTGATCATAATTTTATATGGCTTGATGACAGCATCCTAGGCGATATTCCCAAAGCTTAGGTCTCCGCGCGTGATCTTAGTCTGCGATCTGATGTTCTGCTTATCGAGAGCCTTTCGCAGTCGCGTAGCACGACGTAGAAGAATATTGTCTGCTGATGTTTCGGGCAGAAAGAAAAACCAAAGAATGAAAATGGGGCTCGCTATCCAAAGTACTTCCTATAAAGACCACCGCTAGCTGTGGAGCCGTCAGATACCTCTCTTGACTCTTAAAGCCGAGTAAAGATTTATAACTGACTCTTCTGCGATAACAGCAAAACCCGACAACATGGGCCCTAATGCAGGAGCAGCGAACATTGCTGAAACCTAGCAAGCCAATGAATAAGGTAAGTAAAGAAGCGAGTACTAAGTTTGGGTTAGCTGGACAAAAGTTGAGTGAAAATCAGGAGAGTATAGATAATCTATATCTTATATGGTCGCTCCGCCATTTGTAAGATAGGGAATACTAAAGAATCCTTATAGAAAACGCAAGACCAAGAGACTAGGAAGATTATGCGTAAGTACTGTTAGCACGCAGAGATTAGATAGATGGCAAATGTGGCCATATAGGGTATATTCCGACCGAAAGTTGGAATTTCGCTTATCGGAGCCTATAGTAAAGGACCGAGACCATCTTATACTACATTAGTAAGTTATGAGAATCCGGAAGGAGACACACTAACATCCGATAATATAAAGTGCTAGTCCTAACGATGCGTTGAATTCACTAACCCCGAAGTGCTCTATTATTTGCCTTTCAAGGTAATGAGTTAGTCTAATGCGGACATCATTTTCTAGTTAGTCAGGTGAGGCGAATTTTCAAGCCTTCCAAACACATACTTATATCTTATTGGAAACGTAGATAGCGGAACCGCAATAAACGACAAAATTATATAAACTGGGTGCGGGCTATTTAGCTCTGATCTGCAATCTTGCCACAGAATATAAGGGATGGAGAAACTTACTTAATGTGAAACGCAATAAAGGCTTTCTTTTTCTAAGACCAATTTTGAGGATTTTCGGTATTATTAGACGTATACTAATTAACCAAAATAGTCCCGTCGGAATTTTTCGCTAGGGACAGCACAATACTTAGAGTCTTATTTAGGGCTAGTTTTTCTTCTTCTTCTAGCCTTTCCGCTGTGAATGCGAGTGTTTGATACTGGATTAGACTTAATGTTGTATCCTGATAATTAAGGGCCAGATCGTCTTTTTCCTGTCCCTGAAAGCCTGCCACATTAATCGCCGCTGCAGCATTACTTAAAAACGGCTCAGCTCTACTTTTAAGCCTGCTATCTCTATTGAGCTAGCAATTAGCATCAGCTACGGCTCCCTTGAATTTACTTGCGTTGTATGCAGTATGGGGGCATTCAAAACCAGGGTGCTCTTCTGGATATAGAAAAAACTTATAACGAAAAATAAAACGGACAAGCTGTCTAAACGGTGCATCGCGAACTATTTCCATGTATAATGATTTTTTCTTTGAGGGATAGATATCGTTTTACTATATATACTAGGGCCAAAGTCAGGATGCTATACTACTTTTCGGGGTGCTTAAACCTATATAGTCATGAATTATTGAGGATTGCTGGTAATATAATAAACTGGTCCGTTCTAGTCTGGTCGGAAACTGGTTAAGCGAACATTAGCTATTTTATTGGACTGCGATGAGACTGAGAAGCTGTCTTATCCCATAAGGTGGGGCTCTATGGTCCCCTACGTGGACCGGTCTCGGCCAGTATGCGCAAGTTATGTAAGTTGATGAAAACGTTATAATGTTATGCGTATAGGGAAGGACCGCGAATGATCCTGAATTCTGGATTAAATCATCATAGAATAATTCTAAAGCATAAAATAAAAACGCATGAGGCTACATTTTCTCTATTACGCTGTATTCTGCGAGTCGTCTCGGTCTTAATCTATCATCGTTGTGGACTTGCAGACCGTCTTGGTGAGTCTGAGCCCCAGTGAAAATTTCAACGCCCGATTTCATGAGCCCGCCGACCGATCTGGAATCATATATCGTAATCAGCAAGTCTCTAAGAACGCAAATTTTACGTGGCGTTCCAAATTTCCTACCCGCTAACTAAATGGTAGCATCCCATTAACGTAACTGATATTATGTATACGCCATTATAGTATAGGTAAATCTTATCGAATACGGAAGGTTCTTTATTTCGCTTAAAACTTATAATTATTGTTATATAGTAGCGGCTAATTTTAGACGGAGATTTTAGCGTAAGAAACTATAAGTTATCCCTTACGGGCCTATATTGGTCTTACACTACGTAGTCCACTATCTATTCGGTAGCTTCTAGTTGCCGCCACTCATAAGGGTATTTCTTACTCACGACTACTAAGCGGGCACCTTACGTCGAACTTATAATATAACCCTCAGACTTCTCTTCTTAAAGCTGCATATTATCTACAATTTATAAAGAAGCCAGTCCATAATAACCACTTATCCTCATAGGTCATCACTCTAATACTGACAGCATCCTTTCTTGTGAAGTGTTGACAAGTCTATGTTGAACGAATTTTCCTAGGCGCCTCTGACGATTTTGAGAATGTGGGCCAAGATTTACATATATATTGAAGAGGGGAACGCTCGTTGGCTGTACGCTCTGACGACGCACGAATCGGATATACTCAGCAAAACCCACCACGACCGAAGGTCGCCCTCGGCGAGCAGTGGATCCCTCGACAAAGGTCAAAAGTGAGAGATGTGTAAGTGCGTCCATTCTGTAACTAGTGCTAAGTTCGTATTAATATACCCTTTTCCTTACGGGACGGAATGTGACCCGTAAGGGTATGGTAATCCGTAGTAGGGACCAGTTCTCCCCACTACAATATGTAAACGCTGAGCGTTGCTGGGACAGCGCACCAATGGAATTCATACGTCGGGGCAGGCTGCTCGTCCCTGTGGCTTAATTACTACGGCTGCGTTGATGCGCCCTCTACTTAACCAATGAGAGACTAAGGCAAGTCGTGATGCATAAATAGGAGACTACGATACAATTTACAGATTCATCCTTATTATGAGCAATTCCGTAGAAAAGATAACTCTATGAACCACTTTCTGTTATACAGAAAAAATGCCAAGACTTTTGCACTCTAGTAGACTCTAGTCACTCTAGTAGACTCTAGTCACTCCCACTGGAAAGCGCATTCCCTAGCCCCGCCGGCGCCTCCTCCATCCCCGATGCCCTCGACTCTGACCTTCTCACCAAACTCGCTACCATATCGGAACTTGAAGAGCTATAAGAGGAAATTCTGGCCTCGCTACACCGCGTCGGATAGACCGAAAAAGGTGTCATTCTCGCCACCGAACTTCCCCACGCCAGTCGCTATGAAACATTCGACGACGTGATGGAAGCGCTCGTGGCGTCAGCCGACGGCAGAGATCACTAGAATAGATGTCGCTTTAGGTCTTCAGCATCTATATGTATTGAATAAGCCTTGCTTTGTCACGGGCCAGTGCCCGGTATAAGGTCACGTGCACCACGTGACCATAACAACCTAACACACAGAACACCTACTTAATAATTCTCTCTTTAAGCTTTTTGTACACAGTTCGTGGCCTAGCTCAATTGAACATAAATTCTGCTTCAGCCCTTCACATACAAAAAGCTTCCAATTGGATATTGTAAAAATCTAAAACCATAGACGAATCGTCCCTGAATCAAGAGTGATTCGGCGACGTGACCCCTAAGTGAAGATGCAGGAGTCTACGAGCCCACCATCATGGGCGCAGACGCTGCTGCAGCAAATGGCACAGTCACAGGCCATACAGAGCGAACAGAACGAGCGAATCGACATAGAACGCGCAGCGCAGGAAGAATTAATACGACGTTACGACCAAGAGCGCGTTGCCCAAGACGAACGAATCCGTCGCCTAGAGACCATAATAGAGCAATTAGCCCTACGGCCAACAACGACGACAGGGGAACCAACTCCGGCACGAACCACCGTTGGATCGACCCCGGAACCCCCACGATTAGAACCCGTATACCGCCCGAAGGCACGACTGCCAGACCCGACCCCGTTTAGAGGAAACGCAGCCGACTGGCCAACGTGGCGTGTGACAATAGAGAATAAACTGCATGTGGATGGCGTAGCAATTGGCTCGCCCCAAGATCAGTTTATGTACGTGTTCTCTAGGCTTGAGAAGCTCGCTTGGAAGAATACCGGAACCTTTGTGAAACTGCGACGAAACGATGGAGATCCGCAGACGATTCTGGATTACCTTGAGGGTATTTACGGAGACCCAAATATCAAAGCACGTGCTGCGAGACGTCTCCACCAGATACGCCAGTCGGATAGCATGCCTTTTGCGAAATTTCTACCTAGGTTAGAGAAGGAGTTTGCAGACGCAGGTGCCCTCGAATGGCACGACGAAGCGAAGAGGCAGATCCTATTGGGATCCCTGAATAAAAGCATGACGAATTCGTTGATGAATCGTGGTATTCCCGCTACGTTTTCGGACCTTATTGCTCGGCTCCATGAAATCAGCACCGATATGGACGCCCTTAGCATCAATACCCCAGAAAGATCGCACCGTGTATACGCCCAGAAGCACCAGGACTCAATGGATTGGACTCCAACCACCACAGTCAACCAAGCCGAATTCCGCACGAAACACCACCGATCAGGGCCCGAGACGAGTAGGCAGGCGAAGTGGGTCGACCACGAAGAAGTAGAGAGGCGACGAGACGAAGGAAGATGCCTTCGTTGCGGTAAGCTGGGCCACTTTATCGCAAAGTGCCCCCTACCAGCCACACAACACCAAGGACCAAGAGAGAAGCATCTCCGCAGGGTCCAAAGCAAGAAAGCCAGATACACAAATGATCGTGGATCAAATGTGTCATTTTCCGAGGACGAAGTCTCCTTAAGCGAGGATTCGGGAAAAGAGTAACTCCTGTTCTGAGTCGCGAACAGGAGCGAAAGGGGGTCGAAAGGCTGCTGAAACGAGAAACACTACCATTTTTAGTCGACGCTAGGGTGAATGAAATCCAATTTACACAAGCCCTAGTCGACAACGGATGCCGTTGTTACGCAACCGTGAATGAAGCGTTAGTTCAGTCGCTCCACCTCCCGCGCATTAGGATACCTACGCGGATCCTAGATGGAATAGTCCCGAATCAAAGCCGAATCACCCAAGTTACGCACTTTAACCTGGATATCCACGGCCACCAGCAAGGACGAGTATTCGCGTATATTATTCCCCAGCAGGAGGATAGTATAATATTAGGAGATCCTTGGCTACAAGAACGTTAAAGGTCGATACTCAGCAAAGAAAGGGTATATCGATATATTTGCGAGAAACGGAGAACGAACAAGGTGCTGGAATCGCGCAGACCGCACGATCGGACCAACCAACGTAAAGAAAATACAAGTCAAGAAGTCGACAGCTCAGGGGTTGGACGACTTTATGCACAACGAGAAGCAGCCGAATCGACTTCGAATCGGCAAAGTCACAATAGACGACATTGAGAAGGCGCTTCGTCCAAAGAAACAGGATGACCCTAAGGATAAGCTGCCAAAGCACTATTGGCGGTGGTTGAATGTCTTTAGCCAGCAGTTGGCTGACGAATTACCACCGAATCGACCAGGAATCGACCATAAAATCACCCTAAAACGAGACCAGAACGGTATTGAGGAACCACCCCCATATGGTCCTCTCTACGGCATGAACAAAGAAGAACTCCTTTATCTACGAAAGACGCTAACGGACCTTCTTGGAAAGAACTTCATACGAGTAAGCAAATCGCCCGCCGCGGCCCCAGTCCTACTAGTGAGGAAGCCAGGCGGAGGTATACGATTCTGCGTCGATTACCGCGGGTTAAACGAACTCACCGTGAAGGGTCGTTACCCGTTACCACTGATAAGAGAGACGCTAAGGAATATGGGGCAGGCCAGATGGTTTTCTAAGCTGGATATTATCGCTGCTTTCCATAAGATCCGCGTCCAACCAGGAGAAGAATGGAAGACGGCGTTTCGGACACGATACGGCCTATACGAGTGGAACGTTACCCCATTTGGGCTGACTGGCGCACCAGCGACTTTTCAGAGGTATATCAATAAGATCCTACAGGAGTATCTTGATGATTTTGTGTCAGCCTACGTAGATGATATCATCATCTACAGCAGCGGAACGCTAGAGGATCACCGGCGAAAAGTAGGACAAGTGCTACAGAAACTGCAGGCAGCAGGCCTACAGTGTGATATTGGAAAATCGGAGTTTGAGCAGGATTCTGTGAAATACTTAGGGTTCATCGTACAAGCGGGTAGGGGAATCCATGTTGACCCGAAGAAGGTCATAGCTATCCGAGAATGGGAAGCACCGAAATCAGTACGAGATATACGGAGCTTCCTTGGATTCGCTAACTTCTACCGCCCGTTTATACCCCGATTCGCCGACCTTTCGGCACCCCTAACGAAATTGACGAGAAAAGACGCCCAATT